CCTCATGTATTGGGGTACAAACAAGTTTCACTTAAAAAATGCATTTAGCAAATTGCCTTCTAAATCGGTTTCTCTAAGCCCAGAGATTAGTGCAGCTCTCAGTCCTCATCGGAAAAGCTTCAGTTTCTTTTTGCTGTGGAGAGCAGTTAATAGAGACTCACAATGGACAGTGTGCAGACAAGTGTCTTCGAAGTTCCTCAGCCATACATGCAATACCTGTATCATACCCTCTACCCACAGAGTACAGGGACCTCCAAGGAAGAAAGGAAGTGGAAAGATTTTAAAAGCCTCAAGTCAGGGAGTCCCGGGGCAGAAGAGTATCTTCTAGAATGATAGGAGCACTGCATTTGTGAACTCCAAGTATCTGTGGTCATTTGTATAGCACATGTACAAGATGAAGTCAGCATCCCAGCATAGATGGGAAAAGGACATCTGATACCTCTCCTAGCAGAGGAGCTATTAACCACTGATGGCTGCTAATGGAGGGAAAGTCAGTTTTCTTTCAGGCTGTGATCCTTGATCCTTCACTCTGCTCTAAAGAATGACTCCACACCCATGGATAAATGGGGAGTACTTACTGGACTCATTGGATCATTAAGAAAAAAGAGGAAATGAAGTTGAGAAGGAAAGGAAGGACTAGGGGAGAGTTGGAGGTGGTAAAATATGACCAAAATACATCATGTACATGTATGAAATCCTCAGAGAATAGATAAGAAATATAACTTTAAGAATGCATTTGGATTCTAAAGCACCTTGCAAAACTTTAACTACAAGGATAAATCCAGTTGAAAGAGTCTCAGACAGCAGGCTGTCTGGAATGGGTAATTGCACACACGACTTCTTCAAGAACTCTCTGATCAGAACAAATAGACACCTGCCAACTTCTGCCCTGCATGTCCCCAGTCCTGGGCCAAAGCCTTCTCAAGTTGAAGCAGCCAAATCGTTTTGATTTATTTTTGATGTGAATCAAACTTTCAAGCTAGCACATGCCATGAAGAAAATTACACATTTTCTATGACCCACTTAAAAAAATGGTTTATTAGAGCAAATCCACGTTTAAGACTAAAATCCTAGGTAAAATTAATCTGTTTTCCTCAGAGTTAAAGAGATGATTGCCTCTGAAGTGATTTTTATGTCTGTGGTGGTAAAACTATGTGGTATTTCATGCATCTGTGTATCTCTCTTCAGTCATGCTGAGCATGGGATAGATACCTCATTATGCAAAGAACGTTAAGTAAACACACCTCACTTTGGGAGCATCCAGGTAGAAGAGATGGGAACACCAATAAATAATTACTAGAGGACACGGTAATAGTACATTTGATACATGCAAGTAGTTCTATGGGAATACAAGATAAGAAACGCTAATTAGAGTACTAAGTTAATTTTAATTTTATTTTATTTCTCTTGGTAATGGGTTCTAACAGTTTGAAATATCCCAATAAGATACTAGGTATGAGATGACATAATATGAATCAACTTGTTTCAGGAATTTATTTAATGTCCTACATTAAGAACTAGAGTCTATACAAGGAGAACACCAATCTAAAAAAATGTAAATGGTGAAAAGCAAATATTTAGAATAAAATATGAAAATCTCATTGAGTAAAAACAATTATTTAAAAAGGAATCCATGCTGCAGACTGGTAGGAGCAGGCAGTTCCACACTCTCAGTGATGGTTCTGTGCTTCCCATGGAGTTAAAGTCACACGTTTTTGTTTTGCATTGTTTTGTTTTTTTGAGACAGGGTTACTCTGTATAGTTTTGCACCTTTCCTGGAACCTACTCTGTAGCCCAGGCTGGTCTCAAACACATAGAGATCTGCCTGCCTCTGCCTCCCAAGTGCTGGGATTAAAGGCGTGCGCCGCCGCCACCACCACCTGGCTCCCACACTTAGGCTTTCATCATTCTCTAAAGAGCATTATTTAAAGCATCCTTAGTTTCCAACTTGGTTTCCCTTGCCCACTTTTGCACTACCTTCCCCTGAATTAATTGGTGTGATGGGCTCATGTAAATGACTTTAACAACCAGACTGAGCTAATATTAACCCATGAGAATTTGGAAAGTTAAATATACCACCCAAAGGGTATCTCTTTACTGAACTTCAAGATTAAGTGTCAAATATGTTTTCCTGTGATGTCAGGGGTCTCCATTCATTCACTTCCATGATGTGGAGAAACGAGGACTGTTGGTTGTAAGCACCTGCTGTGGAGGGCAGACCATGTTGTGGGGTCTGCAGTGTACAGGGACTGTGCAATGGCCATGATGAACAAACCAGGACCACCCACCACTTGCTGTTATACTTCATTTTCATCACTTTTTCTGTCCTGTTCTGCCAGAGTCACTTTTTAACACTTTAATCATCATATTTCATCCTGTCTTTTATGAACCAGATGAAATATTTTCAACTTAGTTAAACCCTCTGATTACTCTCCATTTTGTGGGGTGGGGATCAGGATCAAGTTTATTTACATTATCAGATTTTTTTAAATTTTTTTCATTAAAAATATATTATTCATTTTACATACCCACCACAGATCCCCCTTATACCTCCTCTCTCTCCCCAGACCCCTGCCTAATCCTCCTGACCCACCCCTCATCCCCTCCTCCAAAAGGATAAGTTCTCCACTTTTAACTAACCCAGTTTGCAAATTTCAACAGCAGTTTGTATCTGTTCCATGGCTCATCCAAGTACTCTTGATATTTTGCATGACTCTTGCTCTGACCTCAACCTCCAACTAGATTCAGAGATCATTGGAGAAGGCTCATCTCTGTGGCCTACATAAAACCAGAACCATATCACAGGAAAAAAAGTGGCAATTGAGGGTAATGTGAATTTTCTGTCCGCCCAAGGCTGTGCCTTTGCTCAAATTCTATTTCAACCCAGTAATGATTGCTCTTATTTTCTTCTTTCATGATCTAGATGCTCAACTTAGAGTTCTAAACTGTGCCTGCAATGCCCATTGAATGCTTCCTTTGAGGTTCTATAATACTTCCCTTACCCACTCTGTGTTGATTCCCATTCTCACACTCATTAGAGTTCTCATTTACAATGTATTTACTTGGGTAAGCATATCTACCAAGTCGTACTGAGCTGAGCTGTATGCCCTGCTGCAAGTGCTTTCAGGAGTGGCTGATGGGAAATTAAGAGCAGAGGTTTGGAAGTTTGGTCTCTGAGATCAAATAGTTCAGATCTTACAGCTAGTAGCTCCTGGGACATTATGAGTGAGGGTTTACTCACAGGATGGTTCTCTGTAGAGAAACCACTGTAGATTCTCTAGATTCTGCTGCTTTAAATCAGGAGGGAATTTCTATTGTGAGGTGTTTGTAGTTAAAATATCAAAATTGTTACTTGAATTCTCCCCTTTAGACTGTGAGAAACTTAGTGTTCACTAAAAAGAAGAAAGATGTAGGGAATTTGGAGAGTGAAATGGATGGGATGGGCAAAGAGATGGTACAAGCATAAGGAAAATGTATCATTGATGCAGGGATGTCTCAAATCACATTCTAACCATACGTTTAGGATAAAGTCAAGGTAAGAAATTGTTTCTGGGAAGAGGTAGTCCAGATGGGTATAGTTCCCACTTGTTAGACTTCTAGTTTCTACTTAATATTTTTCAATTTCATGGACATTATCTCTAAAGGTTCATGTATACAAGCGAATTTTGTTCAGATATAAAAGGAAAAAATTCTGTCACTGGGTGATGCAATAGATTGAATTAGAGATTATTAATTGAACTAAAGCAAGTCAGACACAGAAATGTAGTTGCCACATAATTTCATCGATGAAGTTGACTTCATCAAAGGTTAAAGAATGATGGTGACCAGAGCCTGGGGGTTAGAGAGGGCTGTGGAAAAGTTAATCAGTGGGTCAAGCTACAGATAGATAGGAGAAAGAAGTACTTGTGTGTGGTGACTAGACCTAACAATCATGTTCTATACACTTCAAAGCTAAAAAAAAGATTTTTGAGTATTTTTCACCATAAGTGATAAACATTTGAGAGATAGATACATATAACCTTAATTATAACACAAAGAGAACAACACATTGAAACAGTACAGTAGGCCACTAATATGCACAATGTTCCCACTTTTGTGTATCATCTTTAAAATAAAATTTGAGGAGCTGGAGAAATGACTTGCTGGTTAAGAGTGCTTACTGCTCTTGCAGAAGAGCCAAGTTGGTCTCGCAGGCAGCTCATGACCATATGTAACTACAGATCCAGTGGATCCCATACCCTCTTCTGGACTCTGTGGGTACCTGCGTTCATATAAACACATACATAAAAATAAACATAAATATAAAAATAAAATTTAAATTAATAATTCTATAGTTTTAAACTATTCACAAGGTAGGTATAATTGCCTGGTTTTCCAAATGTGAAAATCAAGGTTCAGAAAAATTGAGTCATAATTATCTGCCTAGTAAAGCTTTGTATATAAGCATGCTTTTTCCTCCTAACATGCTTGCAGACACGTTAAGCAGGCATCTTTAACTATCCAGATGGGTGTAGAAGGAGATTTTTGAGGCTCCTATCAGGTTGGTATATTCCATTTTTTGTGCCATTGTTTCAGAACCCCAATTTGTTGTTTACCAGACCCCCCTTTTACTGCTGTTGACAGTGATAAAGATAAAAATAGGACCAGAATTCAGATGGCTCATCCTCCATTTCTCACCAAGAGGAAACTTAGGTGGTATCTTTGTCCTTTGTTGAATTAAACTAAAATGAATCTGTGATATGCAAAGGAGCCCCTCAACTGTGTGATAGTGTCTATGGTTTATTCAAAAAGGGGAGACACAAGGCCTGTGATACATCATCTTTTGTGTGCCTGGCACCTTCCATCATGAATCATATTAATCTGCTTAAACTAACAAGGATTAATTGCTTCAGCAAGGCAACCTGGCATTGAAATGATATATTGCCCAAACAGCTTGGAATTTGGCCACTCATAAATCTCATTTGCTTGTTGGTTTATTTCTGTGTCTATTTTTCTGACAGATGTGTGCCCAATCACTGTGAGCATGGTGGGAAGTGCTCGCAAACATGGGACAGCTTCAAATGCACTTGTGATGAGACAGGATACAGCGGGGCCACCTGCCACAACTGTGAGTGCCAATTTATCTCACTTTCATCTTGTAATTGCATGGGAATCATGGTCTTCAGCTACGCTGTACAGAATAGCAACCTGAATTACACACATCTTGCTCCACTTGATTCTGGGAGAAAATAATCCTCAAGGTTGCATTCTAATTTTTCCAAAAATGGTATTCTAGTTGTCAAAATATATTCTCTCTTGTCTAATGACTCTAAAGAGGGACAGACAAGTCCAACATTCCATATATGAAACTGGGATGCTGAGATTGGATTCACCTCTTATGTCTAAGGCATGCTTGTCCAAAGAGATTGCTTGGGAATTGTGTTAGTGTGATGTCGCTAACTGGGTTCTCATTCATCAGCTCATCAAAGAGAGACAGGACAAAGGATAATTTGAACATTTAGTTTCTGGGCAATGTTTGCCTCATGTTTTTACCCAGATTATTGATTACATTATTTTTAAAGCAAAGAAATGTGTCAGACAGTGTAAAAGTCCATTGAAGTTACACATAAAAAACAAAATCTAGAGAACACAATTTTTAAAAATATTAAAGATGAAAGGTAAGATGCAAAGATGACTGATAAATTAGATTTGTGCTTTGTTTCACATGGCATTATCCTGAACAGTTAAACAAAAGTTGAACTCTTTAATTTGAGTATTTTAAAAATAATTTCTAGCCCTGTCATTGTATTATTAATTCTCTGAAAAGGTCCTGATGTTTTATTTTTGAAAACAGATTTATCATAACATACAGTTGGGAGAGAAGGGAGTCACCTGTTATCTGACATTTGGATATGAATGCGTGTGTACATACATGATTATTGTGTACATTAGTGTGCATTCGAATGTATGTATATATATATATATATATATATATATATATATATATATGTACAGATGTGTGTGTGTGTGTGTGCATGCATGTGTGAGTATGCATGATATATGCCTGTAGGGAAGAAGGAAAAGGAAGGTAAAACAGAGATTTAACTTTGTCCCACAACTCAAAAACACAGAAAATCTCAAATCTAAATTCTCTAATTATACAGATTGATTATTCTTCATTTCACTTTTAGGAAATAACAAGCAAAACATTCTCAGAGTAGAGTCTTGGGGATAGTAAAAATGCAATATGGTTCCCTGTGCCTTTCCATGTTGTTATTTTTAGTAATGTTCAGTAAGAAATCATGTTTAGATTATACTGTAAGCCTATGTTTAAAAAGCTGTTTATTTTTCTTCACTTATAAATTTGTCTGGTGAGATTCTAAAAATCAAGAGGTAAAGAACAACTGGCATTGGGACCAGTAGGATGCCTCAACAGATAAGGATGCTTGCTACCAAACCTGAATTTGATCTCTGGGACCCACAAAGTACAAGGAAAAAAATCAACTCTCCCAAGTTATCATCTGATTTCCATACACACACAATGTAATGAAAGATTTTTTTTAAAAAAAAAAGCTAAACAATGATGGTGAGATATTTAAGGATCATATAATATCCATAAAAACTCATCATTTCATGTTCAGGGCAGGAGAGATGGCACATAGGTAAAGAGCACTGGCTGCTCTTTCAGAGGATCTAGTTTTGGCTTCCAGCACCCACATGGCAGCTTATGACTATCTGTAACTCCAGTAACAAGGGCTCTGGTGCACTCTTGACTCTGCAGACACCAGGCACACATATACTACACATACATACATGCAAGCAAAACAATCTTATACATAATATAAAAACAAATAATTTGACTTTGTTTTTGTTTTTCAAGACAGGTTTTCTCTGTGTAGCTCTGGCTGTCCTGGAACTCACTCTGTAGAACAGGCTGTCCTCAAATTCAGAGATCCACCTGCATCTGCCTCCCAAGTGCTGGGGTTAAATGTGTGTACTACCACTGCCTGGCTAAATAAATCTTTTAAAAAGAGATTCATGTTATATAAAATACTTGGCACAGAAAAATATTTTCATGAATAAAAGCAATAATAAAACTACTTAAAAGAAAGAAATTACAACTAAAGTTGTTTTTTACCAACCATATCCAAGAGTTGACTTTCAGTAGATATTCATTACATAAAGTATGATCTGTTGCTGGAGGGCTTCTCTCCAGGTTCCCCAAGCCCCGCAGTCCCACAATCCACATATAAAATAATCACTCAGACGCTTATATCACTTACAAACTGTATGGCCGTGGCAGGTTTCTTGCTAACTGTTTTTTTTTTTTTTTATCTTAAATTAACCCATTTTTATAAATCTATACCTTGCCACGTGGCTGGTGGCTTACCAGAGTCTTTACATGCTGCTTCTCCTGGCGGTGGCTGCAGTGTCTCCCCCTCAGCCTTCCGCTTCCCAGAATTCTCCTCTCTCCTTGTCCCACCTACTTCCTGTCTGGCAACCTACTTCCTGCCTGGTCACTGGCCATCAGTGTTTTATTTATATAGAGCAATATCCACAGCAATGATCTACAATTAAGTTACTTTGGTCAAGACAGGAACCTTCCTTTTACCCATATATCTCATATAGCCATTTATAAACTCCTTGTTTAATCATGAGATTTTGTGTCTGTAATTCTATCTAGAATCAAAAAGCAAGAAATTGATGTTTTGATAAATGTCTCCTCTCTCATTGATTGTTTGATATTGAATTGAAAAGACAATAATTTTGAGATACTTTTTCCCAACATTAAAGACCAATTTTACAAATATATACTATTAACTGAGTAATTGAATTTGACTTTTGAGAGCAATAATTGAAAGTGTCAGAATGACCCTGGATGTGTTCACGTCTGCCAGTTTCAAATTTGAAAGAGGAAAATTACCTCATGCAGCATGTCCTGGTACTCCATCCTGTTGTCCCTATGTCCCAGGACTCCATGATGCTGGTCCCCATGTACTGGTACACCATGCTGTTGGCCCCTGCGTCCGGGCATTCCATGCTGCTGGTCCCTATGTCCTGAAATTCCTTCCTCCTGGTTCTAAGTCTTGGTACTTGATCCTACTGGTCCCCATGTCCTAGTTCTCCATCATCCTGATCCCCATGACCTGGTACTCCATCCTGCTGGCCCCATGTCCTGGTATGCCAACTGGCTAGTCCCCATGAGTTGGAGCTCCATCCTACTGGTCCCCAAGTCCTGGGGCTTTATTTTGCTGGCTCTATTCATTATTGCTATTCTATTCTTTTCAGTAAAAGTCAAACCAGTCATTTGCAGAATAAAAACTCAACCCCTTGTTGCTTTCTTGCAATTCAGTCTGTATTTTGAATATCCAGCTAGTGTATGAGCAGAAGTTAACAGGCCAATTCATTCTTCAAGACATGTAGCACATCACTTGTAGAAAATTATATGTGTCATTAGTTGTGTACTAAATGGACAAGTTTGAGTTGACACTAAGTCCATGTAGTGCTGTGTACCCATCTAGAAAACCATGGGGTTTCTTTGAGCCTTCTTTATTCTCCTGAACTGAAGGTTTGCTTGAAGTCACTACTACTCTTCAAGGCCAGTGTGTTAACCAAGGAGCTACTTATTCTGAGCCTTGTGTTTTTTTAGCATCATGGAGGTACAAGTTGAACACTGCTGACCTACAGTAGCTAACTAAAGTCAAACCGAATGTTTAGTAGAGTTTCAACCCTTATAATTAGTCAACAAAAGCACTTTGGCTCATTTTCTACACTGGTCCTGGCTTGGTAATGGGACAATAGGAATGTCTTGAGTAAGTACCTATGATCAAGCCTTTGTGTCAGATCATATTGGCTGGCTTCCACTTGTCTTCATCCCTTATTGCACCCTTGGCTCCTTACGTTCTTGAGGCCTGTGTTCTCATTGTTGAGATGCCTGTAGTAACCACCATAGCAAGATTAACTAAGAAGGCACCTGGGGACACTGGAAGATCTTGGCCACAAGTAGCACCCAGTGTCTTCCTTTCATTTCACTCCTTCCAGAGGGACTGTGCTTTGTTTGACCCTCTACCCTTTGTTTGTCCAGACCCCACAATTTGTCCTTTATTTCATGTTGATATTCACCATTGACTGTCATTTCTGTGGCAGATTAGGGACTGTGGACGTTGATTGGTTTCACAGCATCTTTCTCCAGAATAACCAAAGAGATTAAAGCTAATTTTAATACTTCTAACACCTGAATGTTTATTCATAAAGATCTTTAAAGTTAGCCGGGCGTTGGTGGCGCACGCCTTTAATCCCAGCACTCGGGAGGCAGAGGCAGGCGGATCTCTGTGAGTTCGAGGCCAGCCTGGGCTACCAAGTGAGCTCCAGGAAAGGCGCAAAGCTACACAGAGAAACCCTGCCTAAAAAAAAAAAAAAAAAAAAAAAAAAAAAAAAGATCTTTAAAGTAAGTTGTGCATACAACTCAGAAGATTGTCATTAATACACTATTTCCTGGAGGTCAGAATGCTGTTCTAGAAATGCTGAGTCCTTGGGATGGGCAAATTTGGGTTTTTGTTAACTAAGACCAAAAGGAAGTAGTTGGTGATAAATATTAAACACAATCAATTCTTGCCATGTTATTTTTAAAATTTTTCTCTGAAGATGATCCATTTTTAGTGACTTTTAAAGAGCTACTCAGCCATAACATGGACTGAAATCCCCAAGAAAGAAATCCATGGATGGCTAGTGTGTGTGCTTCTCATGGCTCATGTGTTTGCTGGCTTGTTGGTGTTGCACTGACTTACCTCTGTTTCTCCCTCTCTACATTGTAAAACAAAACTCCGCACTTCTAGCTGTGGCCTTCCTCTAATGGCTCTCCATAAACACACTTCAGTTGTCTCCAGCTTCCTTCCCAGAACTCCTAATGCTCCTTAGGATCTAATTACCATCTCATTTTCCCACATGTGTTCCTTAAACTTTTAAGATTATGGTCCTTATTTACATAAATTAAATTCAAGAAGCTATCCCTCATCTCTGGGCTTAATGGATTATTTTCCCCATCATGCTTCAGTACTTGGTGTTCTCTTAGGAATCAACCATCCTTCTTTAGTCTATGACCATTATATGATATTGCCTTCACTTTCC